ACTTATTAAAACAGAAATCGACAGTATCGTTACTGAGACTCCTGTTGTTGAGTACCCACAGCATGTTCCTAAGCTTGAGGCTTTCTCCCCCCTTTCTGACGAAGATGTACACAGAATTATTATGAACTCATCTAATGCCACTTGTCAGCTTGACCCTATTCCAACATCACTTGTAAAGTCATGTTCTGATGCTCTCGTTCCAGTGATTACCAAAATGGTGAATTTGTCTCTAGAAGATTGTGTCGTACCCGATAGATGGAAAATTGGCCTTGTTTTACCTTCGTTGAAAAAGCAGAATCTTGACCTGGTGTTTTGTAATTTTAGACCTGTGAGTAATTTACCATTTGTCTCCAAAATTGCTTAAAACGCAGTGTTGCCAGACATGTTAGATCACTGCTCAACTAACTCACTTATGCCATCACATCAGTCGTCTTATCGGAAATTTCACTCCACTGAGACTGCTTTGTTGAAAGTCCATAATGATATTCTCCTGAACATGGACCAACAAGAGATTACATTACTTGTTCTTTTAGACCTTAGCGCTGCGTTTGATACTATTGACCACACTATTCTGTTGAAAACCTTGGAATCTGACTTTGGAATAGTGGGGAATGCCCAGAATTGGATTGCTTCCTTTTTGTTAGGAAGAGAACAACGTATTGTTGTTGATCAAGTTCAATCAGATGGTGGTGGTTTAACCTCTGGTGTTCCTCAGGGCAGTTGCTTGGGTCCAGTGCTTTTTTTACTCTACACTTCAGGAATATTTAAAATTGTTTCAAAACATCTCCCTTCTGCTCACGGCTTTGCTGACGATACCCAATTATACCTTTCATTTAAACCAACGTCTTCATCCTCCCAGTTGGATGCTATTCGACTAATGGAAGAATGTATAGCTGAAGTTCGAGCCTGGTTAATTGGACACCAACTGCTAATTAATGACACAAAGACTGAGTTTCTGATTATTGGTTCGAGACAGCAGCTGTCTAAGGTGACTGCTAACTCCATCAAGGTCGGAGAATCCATGATTATGCCAATATCATCTGTGCGTAACCTCGGTACTTGGTTCGATAATCAAATGTCAATGAGTGTCCACGTTGGGAAAGTTTGTAGCAAGGCATTCCATAGTTTGTATAACATCCGTCAAATTCGAAAGTTTTTAACTCCTGACTCGACGAAAACACTAATTCACGCCTTAGTCACTTCACATCTTGACTATTGCAACTCTTTGTTATATGGTATACCTCAGTACCAATTTAATCGACTGCAGCGAGTTTTGAACGCTGCTGCTCGAGTTGTCTGTGTTGTTCCTAAGTTTGGGCATATCTCACCAATCTTAAAGGAGCTGCATTGGTTACCTGTTCGATATCGCGTGGAGTTCAAAATTGCTCTCCTTGTTTTCAAAGTGTTACATGGGGAGGCACCTGCATACCTTGTGAACTTGCTTCAATTAAAGGACGTAGGAACCTATCGTCTAAGATCTAGCGGGCAGAAACTACTCGTTGTTCCTAGAACAACTTGTAAAACATTTGGAGACCGTGCTTTTTTTAAAGCTGGTCCTGTTGTGTGGAATAGCTTGCCTCTTAATATAAGAGAAATCTCTAATGTTTTAACATTTAAGAAACATTTAAAGACCTTTTTGTTTACAAAGGCCTTCGGGTAATAGAAAGACTTGTAGTTTTTAGCTTTTTGATTTACTATTTTGGATTTCTGTAAAGATATATTTTTATACATATATATTTTATATAAGTTAGATAACAATGGTTGTAAATTGTAAACTGCGCTTTAGAATATTTATAGTTTTAGCGCAATATAAACACTTTTTAAATTAAAATTAAATCTATTTCTTTTTGTTTCCCCCACTTGCAAGGCATAGGACATGATGCTGACTTAGTACCGGCTGTAAGTGTTTTAATTATCGACTTGGGGTAAATTGATTTTCTTCTTTTGATTACTAAACCAAAATTTGATGCTGTGATGCGATGGTTCCGCTTAATGTACCACCTATCACACAAGGCTTGTCCATGTGTGTTTCGCTCGATTTCTAGGAATTGATCATGACTTACTTCTAAACTAGAAGCTTGAACTACTTTTTCTGCAGGAATGTTCGCAAAGTTAATTTTCTTATGTTTTAAATTCTCCAGTGTTTGATCTCGCACATGACAATCATTTTGGTTGCAGGGAATTTGTTCACTGTGACATTTTTTTGAGGGAAGTTTGCTGTGGATTTCTTCAAAAAGGACAGGTTGAAAATTGTTTGACTGTAAAATGTTACTTTAAAATGTTGCCTTTTTTTTGCATTGCAAATTAGTGACCAATTTCTTAATGTCATTTTGAGATACATCACCATTGGGAGGTGTCGGGTTGAAACTGACATCCCTTTCATTGCTATGTTTTCGCTTTGCACTTGAATCTTTTTCATAGGAGGCTTTTTTAAATGCAATGTCCTCAAAAAGGATGGTATCACTGGGATTGGACATCTGTCCAGATGGTACATTCCATTTTTGTAAAACCTGGGTACAGGTTACAACATCGGGCACTTCTGACACCTCTAATTGTACATAGTCAATAATTTGATACAACATTGCCGCAATATGTTTACATTGACCTCCCTTGCCTGCCTTACATGAGCAATGTCCACGGATAACGTCACCATTTATTTGATCCAAGTGTACATAAACCACATAACTCAACTTTTTCATTGATGCATGCACTGTTGCTTTTAATATGAATGACTTTCTGCCTGCACTATTTGGAACATTGGGCTTTACTTGAACGTTGCTAACATATCCTTCCTTAAACAAACGATAGCCTAACTTCTCGTCTTTCTTAGTGCCAGTTGAGTCCAGGCCCAGGTGTATTTGAAGTTTATTGTAAGTAAATGGAGGTAGTAAACTGAGATCCCTGGTCCACAGTTGAATTTCTACCTGAGAATTGTCTGCATTTTTTGAGGTGCTAGGTTCATCTCCCATTTTTGCCAGATATATATATTTATGTCTATTATTATTATAGCTTTATTTATAGTTTTACTACTTAAATATATTAATATAAAATTATCTGTATGAAATATTATACTCTATTTATTAATTCAATTTAAAAAAATTCTACCTAATATTAAAAATTCAACATTAACAAATTTAATATTAACTATTTATAATATTTAGCGATTTTAGACACAATTTTTTTAACTAGAAATACAACTAATTTCGAATTTTAGAATGGTTTATAAGAACCTACTTTACTGCTGGCAAGTACGAGCAGATACGAACCACGACTTTCAAAGGTTTGCAAGACAAAAACAAGTAAAATTCCAGGTAACAAGCGAAAATATCACAGCTGTTGACTAAAACTGCTACACCGGTCACAAATGTTTGTATTTTTCGCGCCAAAACAGACAAAACCAAACGACCCGAAGCAAGGTTATATATGAACGAAATAATAGCCGAAAATCGAAGGCACATGCCATGATTCAGTCAACAATAAATAGCGAAGAAAATGTGTGAACGGATTCAAAAATGGTCATGCGTAAATATAACATAAATGAGATTGTGTACATATCAAAATAATCATCCGATCGCTACATAATACAAAGACTCACCGCTTAAAAGTGACATGGAACCATGTTCGAAGGCCATTTTCGCCGAATAAACTGTTCACACTTGGTGTTCGGAAAGCCGTTTTTTTCGTTAAAACCACCCTTGATCCCTTCTATTTTTCCCTGTACATATCGCTTGGAGCTATAATTGTCTCAAGATACAAGCGTTATACTTTTCGTTGAAATAAAAAAGCTGAAAATCGGCAAGATTCCCTTTGAAACAAAATCACTTCCGAACACTGCGCCATGACAACTAAAATGAATTTTGATAATCAACTACCGTCATGCATTGCGCGCGTGCTGCTAAAAGGGGAAAGGTCTATTGGATTGATGTCAGGTGATCGTGGTGGTATTTTAAAGCATTCATATCCTAATTCATTATAAACTGCCCTGGCACATGCACTGTTTTGACTCGGGGCGTCGTCTTGCAAGAACCTCAATGTGGATTTACAGGAGCGAATGAATGTTTGTGGGAAGTTGTCTGTTATATAGTCTGCAAACATAGGTCCATCAAGGTGTTTGGCCCAAATAACACCTTTCTCAAACGAAATAGCAACAAACAATTTCACACGACGGCCACCACTTAAACAATTGGATCCTTTTGCAGTACAGCCATGGTCAAGTCCTTCACCTCGTTGTCTCCAAACGCGACCTCGGAGCGCTAAGGCTTAATCATACGGACGTGTTTTGTGTATAAATGACACCCCATCGAAAAAGAAAGTTACTCCTTGCGTCCAGAAGTCGGCCTCAGGATGATCTCTGGCAATCATTCGTGCAAACTTAAGACGTTTCTTATGATCATTAGGTGACATCAAACCTTTTTTCCTTGCTTGTAACCCGTGGAAACTGTTTCTGTTTAATACTCGTTGCACAGTTCGGTTGCTAATTGTAGGTGATAAGTTCGCCTCAAGGGCAACTCTCTTTGATGAGAAATTTCCACCTGTAGCTGATTGAACCTTTTTTGATGTTCTTATAATATGCCGTTCAGTTCTCTTGTTAATTTTTCGTGGCCGCCCCAGACAGGCAGTCGGAAATTTGACGGGACAATGAAACGTTTTTGCAATCCACAAAACTGTGGCGTTAGATACCCCACATTTTCCAGCGATTTCTCTTGTACTCATTCCCATATTCTTATGTATATATATATATATATATATATATATATATATATATTAATATATATATAATTATATATATATATATATATATGTATGTATATGTATGTATATGTATGTATATGTCTGTATATGTCTGTATATGTCTGTATATGTCTGTATATGGTATGTATATGGTATGTATATGGTATGTATATGGTATGTATATGTATGTATATGTATGTATATGATATGTATGTATAGTATGTAATTGATGTATTATATGTATGTATATGTATATGTATATATATGTATATGTATGTATATGTATGTATATGTATGTATATGTATGTTATGTATGTATATGTATGTATATGTATGTATATGTTGTATGTATGTATATGTATGTATATGTATGTATATGTATGTATATGTCTGTATATGGTATGTATATGGTATGTATATGGTATGTATATGGTATGTATATGGTATGTATATGGTATGTATATGGTATGTATATGGTATGTATATGGTATGTATATGTATATGTATTGGTATGTATATGGTATTTATATGGTATGTATATGTATATGTATGTATATGTATGTATATGTATGTATATGTATGTATATGTATGTATATGTATGTATATGTATGTATATGTATGTATATGTTGTATATGTATGTATATGTATGTATATGTATGTATATGTATGTATATGTATGTATATGTATGTATATGTATGTATATGTATGTATATGTATGTATATGTATGTATATGTATGTATATGTATGTATATGTATGTATATGTATGTATATGTATGTATATGTATGTATATGTATGTAATGTATGTATATATTATATGTATGTATATGTATGTATGTATGTATGTATATGTATGTATATGTATGTATATGTATGTATATGTATGTATATGTATGTATATGTATGTATATGTATGTATATGCATGTATATATGTATGTATATGTATATATATATATGTATATATGTTATATGTATAATGTATATATAAGTAGGTAACCCCCCCCCCCATATAGCGGAAAAATCACGCACCGCGTGATCCCCACGCGGGCCGTCGAAAACTGTCGGATTTTCCTGACGTTATGCATGGTCTCCACGCAGGGTGAGAGTGTGACGTTATTAAACCGTAATTAAGTACACAGTAAGGATTTGCGAGGAAAATATTTTATTTGTCAGGTAATACACATTTAGTATGTCAACATATTAAAAGTATGTTTCTTTCCATAGCATTAGGACTGTTTATTTTATTACATGATATTATGAGAATGTTTCTTTCAATCCTACTAGGACTGTTCGTTCATTTTAAGAGTTCATTTCTTAAATAATCTGAAGGGAACAGGTTTTTTGCTTGTGATTACATTTGTCTCTCCAGCCATAACCCGTAGGCTTCTACTTCAACTTTAGGACAATGTTGATATGCGTCGGCTGCCAAATGCTTCCCACAGGTCTCCAGCCATACTAGATTTTTTATCAGTATTTGCGCTTTCGGGCATCCAAAACACTCCAAATTGATGGAGGGAATGTTCAGGTTTGCGAGGAGATCCTTCTCGTATCAAACATATTGTTTACAAAAGGTAATTAGTGAGCGCTACGGTGTGCGCTACTCCCACGCGTGATGATGTGCGCACAAGCATTTGTTTACACACATTGTCAGTTGATGACTTTGTTCAAACGCGTTTATGCATACATTACTGGTAATAGGTTTTAATGACAGGACGAACCTGAACATGTTCCCCTCCAAACAGATTACACAAATGCCGGTTTACTTATCACACAGTAAGAGTTTGTGAAGAGTATATTTTATTTTACTACTGAGAATTACACACTTGTATGTTCATTTTAAGATAGGTAACCCCCCCCATATAGCGGAAAAATCACGCACTGCGTGATTCCCACGCGGGACGTCGAAAACTGTCGGACTTTCCCGAAGTTATGCGTGGTATCCACGCAGGGTGAGAGTGTGACGTTAATAAACCGTAATTAAGTACACAGTAAGGATTTGCGAGGAAAATATTTTATTTGTCAGGTTATACACATTTAGTATGTCAACATATTAAAAGTATGTTTCTTTCCATAGCATTAGGACTGTTTATTTTATTACATGATATTATGAGAATGTTTCTTTCAATCCTACTAGGACTGTTCGTTCATTTTAAGAGTTCATTTCTTAAATAATCTGAAGGGAACAGGTTTTTTATTTTTGTTTGTGATTACATTTGTTTCTCTCCAGCCATAACCCGTACGCTTCTACTTCAACTTTAGGACAATGTTGATATGCGTCGGCTGCCAAATGCTTCCCACAGGTCTCCAGCCATACTAGATTTTTTATCAGTATTTGCGCTTTCGGGCATCCAAAACACTCCAAATTGATGGAGGGAATGTTCAGGTTTGCGAGGAGATCCTTCTCGTATCAAACATATTGTTTACAAAAGGTAATTAGTGAGCGCTACGGTGTGCGCTACTCCCACGCGTGATGATGTGCGCACAAGCATTTGTTTACACACATTGTCAGTTGATGACTTTGTTCAAACGTGTTTATGCATACATTACTGGTAATAGGTTTTAATGACAGGACGAACCTGAACATGTTCCCCTCCAAAGAAAGAGATTACACAAATGCCGGTTTACTTATCACACAGTAAGAGTTTGCGAAGAGTATATTTTATTTTACTACTGAGAATTACACACTTGTATGTTCATTTTAAGAGTTCATTTCTTAAATATTCTGTGTATGCTTATGATTATTGTTCTCATCACTTGTAAACTCAGTCACCTAGTTAGTACATGAATGTCTACTTTATCGACATAATGCTTTAAAATCCAATATTTGAGTTCAACGTATCCGTGATCTACGCATGCACACCATAACTTTCGAACAAACTCCTTATTTGTAAATGTTTGTCTTTCATCAAAAACAATCTTCCATTCGTTTTCGTCTTCTACCAGCGTGGATAATATTTTGTTCTCAAAGCTGGATAAGGTCATGTAGATAATTGGGTGCGCGGCATCTTCTCCCCAATAAAAGATTAAGTCAGCTACTTTTATTTTTACGGCAAATAAAACACTCTTCGCTTCAATTCTTGTCTATGATCAGTACGGAGCGTGGTTCTTCAATCGATGCGTGTGTACTTGTGCATTTCAATCGCACTAACACGGGGTTTACCTGAAGACATGCGCGGCCTCCACGTGAGATGATGTGCGCACAAGTGTGTTATTGCAACATAGCTTACACGTGGAAGACTTGCGTGGGGCTGTGCGCTCACGCTATACATAATTATAAATACAAACTAAGGATTTGCGAGGAAAATATTTTATTACTCAAATTTTACATATTATTACATCATTGAGACTATTTTTTTCAATACCATGAGGACTATTCATTTTAAAAGTTGATTTTTTAAATATTCTTTGTATGCTTTGTGATGACTGTTTTCGTGACTTGTAAACTGTTCTCTTGTCGTTTTAACCGTGTACTTAAGGGTAGACGGTTTAGTAAAAAAGACGTACAATAAAACCTGACTCGAGTTGGTCATTTTGGTATGAGTGTTCTTTCCAACGAGATAGCTGGTTCAAGATACTTAGAACATATCATTGTGGTCGTCATCATCTTCTCTGCCTTTATTTCCTACACATATTCAATCTTGTAATCGTTTAAAAGCCTCTTAATAAGAAACTTTCTCTTATCAACGGCAGCTTCTATTGCTTCTTGGTCAAAATCATCATTTGTAATAAACTCATCTTTGGTGTGCATTATTTTCTTATGTACCGGATCTTTCTTTAGTTGTCTCATCCACAAAAGGCGCTCTAAATAAATATTTTCTAATTCTTTCTGGAGTCTAGGCATAGCATTGAAGTAAGCTTTCTCTTTTGCAGAGTGCTCATCGAAACCACTGTTTAAAAGGCTTTCTTTCATTTCCTCGAAAACTGTTTTACTTCTTTGTTTTGCTTCTTCTATTAACGATATCCAGGGATCCATTTCTTCTTCACATTCTGAGTCAATTGTCGTCGAACTTCCACATTGCTGAGTGGAAGTGGTCGAGACATCATCTTGGAAATCACTTTCTTGACTGTCCGAGTCTGTTTGAGACATATTTATTTCTTGTTCTCGTAGTGGGCAATACTCCCGTTCGTGTCTGCGCTGATTGTAACTGCTGCTGAAGTATCTTCCGCAAAATTGGCAGCTCATCCCCTTAGCACTAGCAGTGTGGAAATGCCTTGTTATCGAGCAGCAATGCAGTTTTATGAACAGATGAGCAACTGCTCATGAGCAGTTATGAGCATGTGCTCATAGGCCCGTTTGGGCCCTATATGGCCTTATATGGCACTATTAGGCGTCCCAACCCGCGAGGCGAACTTGACCATGGTAGAGTTTCTCTTTGAAAAGCCCTTCATACATCCAGAGCTTTAGGGGCTAAAAAAAGTCCCATAAGGGACAAACAGTTCCGCTATATGTTTCTCTTTGAAAAGCCCTTCATACATTCAGAACTTTAGGGACTTAAGAGGCTGTCTCCCTAAGATCCTCCTACCGACTTACGCGTTGAAAAATATTTTCCCTTCATAATTCTGTCATTTATTGGCCTTTGTTAGTGTGTAATAAATATGCATACATCTTTTGCATTCTTATTTTATTTTTCAAGTTTTGCGATATTTTCTATTTTGTGTCTGGCATGGCTATTTTTAGACAATTTCAGACGTAAAATTACCCATTTTCAAAGGAACTCCAGATGTGCGCACGGCATAATTTGGTTTCTATTTTTGAGTCACTTGAAAGACTTACAGCTATACAACAATTTGACGGCAATGATTTGTATATATTACAGGAATTCGAATTTTTTTTAAAAAATTCTAACGGCAATTTTGTCGTGCCGTTAAAATTGCAAAAATAGTCATCATTCAACTTTGTTTTTATCAAAAGTGCAACCAGTTATACACCCAGACCAAACTTGAAATTAAACTACTAATACTGTTCTAAAATTCTATGGAAAAACATTTTTGGGGAAACAAACTTGTGCGCTGTGAATTTAGATAAATTATTTGCAATTATTTGCAATTTGGCGTGGCATTAAATACGCACAGAAATAATCATCTCAGTGTGTCATTGAACAAACAGCTTAATAAATCATATGTTTAAAACATTTGATCACGTTAAGAAGAAACCCGAAGAAAAAGAAGAACATTTCATGCATTTCGCTACCTATAGCATACTTTGGGAATAGATAAAAGCAATTAAGCGTGCATGTACTTTGCCTGGCAGTGGTATAATTGCATGCAATCACAAAAATTATTCGCAGTTATGTTATAAGGGCTTTTTATATATTTGTCCAGTTTTATCGCTTTAATATATTTATTGCTGTAGTTTATTCAGCATATGTAATCGCTCTTAACGTACATGCACAGCCACAGGCATGCTGTAGTCGGAAATTTCATGCGCTTTGAAATAAATTCACTAAACTTACCGGTCCAGGTAAATCCATTATCCTGTCACATAAATATTTGCTTTCGCCGTCGCCGGGTAAATGTTCCTATACAGCGATTTGTACAGTAATTAACTTGGTTTCTAATGCGTTTCCAGATTTATTTAGTGTCAATTAAAGAGTTACAGGTACATCCAGCAAGCATATCTCTAACTTTCTCAATCAGTGAGGATTTGAGGTTCTTTGACTTGAAAGGTAATTCGAACTCTTTGCAGATAGATTTCAGCACTTTAACGTTGAAAACTTTAAGTTTATCCTTCTTGAAATAGTCGCAGAGGTTGTACACATCATAGACAATGGGATGTTGTAAACCTACTCGTTCAAGAATGCTGTCAACAAGCTCTTGATCGCAAATATCTTGTGCAATTGCTACTAAATCTTCGTCTTCAGAGCTTTCTAA